CTGCAAAGTCAGCGCTTTCCTCAGGAGAAAGATGAGGCTGTCTGCTCCTGTAAAGACTGACAGTTTTGGAAAAACTATACAGGCTCGCTGCGAGTTACAATTGACTCAATGGCAGTGGGTTTTGGGGTTACACACCCTGGCTGCCAATGAGCACAGTGTTAGAACTTTAGAATCTCAGACAACTTGTTGACACCTAAGAGTGACCCCCCCTGCACACATGGCTAAGGAAGCCGTGAGACTGGAATGAAGGACTGTGCCCAAGGCTACACACAGACTGTTGCAGGCCATGTGCTCCTCAGACTTCTGAGAGCGCCTGGGGTCCAGCTGGGGCTTCTGAAGTCCCTGCCCTGGAGGAGGCAGGCAAGCCATGCTGCCGCTGTCGGTTATGTAATTTTGGACCATTAAATTTGATAGCCCGCCCATGTTCTTAACTCTATGGCTGTATTATTAAGAAACATAAATCTGGAATTTGTGGAATGAGGTTCCACAGAAGTGGAAGTAAAATACTCAGTAGACATTTGAAGAAACAGCCAAGAATCGCAAACTCACCCCAGCCCAAATGAGGCCAGTAGGTTCAGCTCCCCAGAAGCCAAACAGCTGTGGCTGGAGGCTGTTTGCTGTTAGTGCCGCTCCCCTGCTCTGGGGATTGAAGTGCTAGGGAGAAGACAGGCCGGATATGGGTTTCCAGCTCACCCCCGGGGTGTTTCCCTCCCTTCCTCTTAGAAAGCGGAGGGCGGGCTGCAGGGTTAGGGCTGTATGGAGTGAGCAAGGATGAGTCGACTTAATTTGCTTCATTCAAGTAGCAGAGCTGACTCACGCTGTGCGTCACAGAGCCAGGCCCTGCTGCTGCACGCCGCCCCCCAACTGGACTCACCACTGTCAGCCGCACCGGCTGTAATGAGGGACCTCTTGTGGACCTAGTGGCCGCAGGAGCCTCATTAGTGCCCGCTGGGCCCAGTGCCACCAGTGGCCCCCCCATTAGTCGCTTTCTCTGAGGGACTTGGAGGGCTTCCTCCACCATCATTTTCATAATTAAATCAGTCGTTATTTATCTTACAGAGAGCTGTTTGTTTTGCGTTGGTGAGCTGTGCTTGTGGAGCTAGAGAGAGTATCAGTACCTTGTGCTGTTCGCAGCCACAGTTGGAAAGAGGATGTGTGCAGTGCTGGGTCCCTGCATCCCCCCATTCTATGCATGCACACAGAACCCCCAGCAGCATGCACTGGACTTCCTCAGGAGCTTGGGCCCTTGTGACCCACAGAGTATACACATCCTGGGGATGGGGGAAGGGCTGGGGAAGCATTGCGAATGGACAACGTTCTCCATACCCAGAGGGTTCCCTCCTGGGCAGTGGAGAGAAGCTCCTCCCCTAGCCCCTTGGGAGGCCCCTTTTCATGGCAACCAGAAAGCCACAGGGGCAGTATATCCCTAAATTCCCCCAATGAAGCCTTTGGGGTTTAATTCTTTAAACACACACACACACACACACACACACACACACACACACACACACACACGCTTTGTTTGCTTTGTTTTTTAATTTTTTTCACACACACACTTTCTATTGTGAATTAGGTGCATCAGTTTTCCATTCAGTGTTTCAGACATTTTGTTTCATATCCTTGATTGCAGTCCCCACAGTGTGCCCTCAGATCGCCTGTGGTTGACTCTTCTCAGGAGGGCTAGCCTGCCTGGAGTCATTGCCCCCCACCCCCGCTGTTGGGCTGAAAGTGGAGTCACCCTGGGGGGCTCCATTCTAGGTCTGCAGGGTGACCAAGGGCCATAGTCTCAGGGGTTCACCAGTCTCTAAGCAGTAAGCTTGGTTTTTTCTCCCAGGCTATCAACATTCTTTGTAGGCCCCACCCCCTAAAAAAAATCTTTGTGAAAGGGATGTGATAACAGTTTAAGGATCCTTAGTTTTGCAGATTGAGGCAGCTCGCTGCAGCATCTGGGCAGCCAGGGAGGCTGTGGGAGGGAGAACCTGAATCAGCAGTTGTCTTTACCCCACCCCTCCTGCAAGACCTGCCCCCCTCCCCCCTGCAGTGCCCACCTTACTGAGCCCCTGGAGCTCCAGCCGAAGAGCGGGCAGGGGTTCTCTTGATTTAAAGACCTGTCATGGCAGGTTTTGGTGCTTGTTGACTGTGGCCATGGGAACATGCAGAAAGGTTCCAGAAACATCTAGTTCCAAGTGGCCTGCCCTCAGAATGGGCTTGCTGCACAGTGTACTTACTCCTTCTTACAGGTAGGAGTGCATCGGACTGTCGGTGAGTCCTGGGGGGAATCCCCACTTGGCCACGCCTGGCAGATGCAGCCATCTTGGCTGCTCCCGGTGGGTCCTCAGCCCTCCCACCTGTCTGTCTCCATGAGCACTGCTGCGCTCCATGAGGTCAGTCTGTGGAGGCCCTCGTGCAGCTCCCTCAGGAGTGGCCTCATGAGCGGAGAGCGGGACGGACGCACTCTAAGCCCTTCCCTGCCACCGTAAGCTCTGTTTGGAACATAAGGCTCCTTTCTTGATGTGATGAAGATCAAGTCCAAGGCTGTCATCATTCTTAATGAAGAAACACTTATGACAGGCTCATTAGAACCAAGTACAAAGATTAAAGCCGCTGCCATCCTTGAGCGGTATTAGTTACTCGGTTCCGCACTGTCTGGCCAGACCAGAGACCTGGATAAAGACTGGGAGGGAGGACCGGACGGGGCGTGAGCCAGGACAGCTTACTTGTACGAGGGGCTTCAGACACTGGATGGACAAGATGACGGAATTGTTCCATGGGTTTTTGGGGAGCCTCGTGTGTGTGTGTGTGTGTGTGTGTGTGTGTGTGTGTGTGTGTGTGTGTGTGAAGCAGCGCGGCTGTCTAGACTGAGTGACATGAGAGGCAGTATTTGTCTGCAGGTGCCCACCAGCAAGGCAGGGTCACTGGAAGACTGCACAGGAGCGCATCCCCCAGATAACTGCACGTCACAGTGATTCAGCACGCCACTGCCGCTGACCACAAGGCCGGTGCTTTGAACCCACCTGATGTTCCCTGCTCCCATAAAGATGGCATCCTGGGAGGTCCTGAGGGCAGGGCTGCCCGCCCTGCTGGGCCCTTTGAGTCTGGGGGTCCACTAGGCAGCCGTGGATGCTGGGAAGTGTCTTTGTAGGGAGGTGGGGGAGGAAGCTCAGAGGCCTCAGTGAGGAGAGTGGGGGGGGGCGGGGCGGTGTGAGTAAACGCGTGTGCACACTGTGCCCTGTTAGGAACAGCAGTGCTGCAGACTCAGTCACAGCCAGTAATTAATGGGCCTGGTGCAGTCTGAATCAGAAGCCCGACGGGATTCAAAAGTGAAGCAGTTCATTAACGTGCAAAGCCAGTTGATGAACATAAATGTGGGCAAGTGAAATTTGGGGTAAAACAAACAGTGAGGGAGGATCCAGCGCCCCTTTAGCATTGGGAGGGGCTGTCAGGTAAGTGGCACCGGCAGGTGGTAGTGGGGTTAGGAGTTGGGTTACTTGGGGTCTGGCTGTGTAAGGGCTACCCTGGGCTGGGGTAAGGGTGCTGGGGGGCTGCCTGGCCTGGGGTCTGCCCCATGTGAGGGCTAGTCCAGGCTGAAGGAGTCCTAGCAGAACTGGGGAGAGGGGAGACTGATGGACACCGTGGCCAGTTTTCTGAGGGAGAAGAAAGCACTCTCCTAAGGTTACTTGCCAAGCAAACCCACCCCACCCCCACCCCCAGGTGGGTTAAAGGGCCAGTGTTACCTGCAGCAGCCCAGCATGCGCTGCCCACTTTTGCTCTTTCAGCAGCTGATCTCTGAGCCCGATGTGCTGCTGTAGCTCAGGCACTCTGAGCCTTCTGGAGCCTCTGGTCTGAGGGAGTGTGGACAGGTCGGGCTTGGCTGGGGACAGTGGTGCTGGTGTAGGCCTGAGCAATGGTTCTAACCCCTGAGAGGGTAGTGGGGGTGATGGGCTTGGCCAGGGAGCTGGGAGGGGACAGGCTTAGGGGTTGAAGGTGACACCACAAGGAACTCATTGGAGGGGGCCAGGGCAAGCAGCTGTGCCACATCTAGGCTCTGACAGCCTCTCAGTGGGTGCCCACTCCTCAGTGGGGTCCTTGTTTCTCTGATTTACTGCTGTCACCCCCTGCAAACGTGACTGGCATGTAGTCAATGCTCAGGGACCCTTTGTGAGCGAGCGTTGGTCTGCGGATGACCCCCAGGCCCTGTTGCAGCAGCTGGGTAGGTGGGGCTGGGACCGCGCCAGGTGTTGAGATGATGGCCCAGCATTTGGTGTGCCAGGGAGCAGGAGAGGGATCAGATGGCAAACACCAAACTTGGGAGTGTTGGCACCAAACAACAGGGAATCAGAAAAATCTCCAAGGTTGATAAATCAACCAATGAAAGATGAAGCACGCAAATACTTCATAAATATTTGGGGTAAAAAAATAAGCTTGGGCATCCGAATGCTAGAGTGCAAACCAAGCCACGCTGGCGAGCCCTCTGCCTTCCAGTGCACAGGGACTCTGGATGAGCAGACAGCCCCGTGGCCCAGGCTTAGCTAAGGCACTTGCCAGGGGGTCTGAGGGCCCTTTTAAGGCTCATGCTGTGGAGAATGCATCACGAAGAAGCCCAGGAGAAGCTTCTCTCCTGCCCTGTACCCCTGTCCCTGACACCTGTCTCCAGAGAAGGCAGTGCTTTTGGGAACAACAACAAAAACTCCTGGGGAGGTGGGACTTGAGGAGAGGGCTGGTGAGTCAGAGAGCAGTCTGGGGGCTGAGGAGGGCCTGGCTGCAAGCCTTTTGTTTCCCTGTTCTACCTCTAGGTGAAGCCAGATCATCAGGTGGGGCGACGTGAGGAGAGGGGCTAGTGGGTCTGAGGACTGGGGAGAAGGCTCAACTGAGCTCATTTTCCTGTCTTGCCTCCAGATGAAGATTCTCAGGGGAGGCAGGGTCGAAGAGGGGAAACTGAGAGGGGCTGGTGGGCTGGGGAAAGGGCTCCGCTGAGTTCCTGGTTTCTGTTCTGCCCTCAGATGAAGACTGTCAGTGTTGCCCTGGTGCTGTGCCTCAATGTTGGTGTGGACCCTCCCGACGTGGTGAAGACCACTCCCTGCGCCCGCTTAGAATGCTGGATAGGTAAGTGAATTCTTCTCTTGTATCCAGCACTGTAATAGTGATAAACATTTCTAACAATTGGGCAGGTGGGTGATGTGCAGGAGGAGAGAAAGTGAGCACTTCTCTTGACCAGGATGGCGGTGACCCCTGGGGCCAGCAGGGCACATGCAAGGCCACCAGCTTTGTGGCATCTAATTTTTGTGGCACAGGAACCACTCAGAAGGAGTGTGCCTGGCCTCAGTGTGTAACCAGTGTCCCCGGAGTGATCATGGAGAGGCTGCTGTCGGTGTTCTCCACGCCTGGCTTCACTGTTTCACTGTCACCGTCTCTGCACTCTACTTTTTCAGCTACTGAGCCCAGTCCACTGCAGTGGCCACACACACAGCCTGCAGGCAAATATTCACAGGGAAAGGGCGGGTGAAGGATGTTAACAGGTGGCAATGCAGGCGAGAAATGCTCAGGTTGCAGTGGTTCAGTCAGGACAGGTCAGAGTTCTCCGATGGCTGCTCACATAAAAGCCCAGAGGGCATGCTAACCTCTCCACCACCTCTGTGAGAACAGCAAGCCCAGCCCCCACCCAGTTAAGTGCCTAGGGACACGCCACTACAGTAAATTTCAACCTGAAGTCACTCAGCTTCACCTCACCAGGGACAGCAAGCCCAGCTACCCCAGTTAAGTGCCCAGGGGGACCCCACTCCACAAGTTAGCCTCCTGCCCCAAAGTACTCAGAAGTCCACTCTCTGGCTCCTGGTACTGCTGCTGCTCCTGTGATGTCACAGCTGTTTTCTGTCTGGGTCAAGGAGCTTCATTGTGTTAGGGATTTGGGGGCCAGAGGAGGCACTCTACTCCTGGCTCTTGCTGGTGGTGAGATCCTAGCCCGCTCCTGCTTCTCGGAGGGCTCATTTTATATGCAGCAGGTGGCCTTCCAGTGAATGCTGGTCCTAGGGACTCACAGGGGAATCCGGTCAGTGTCTTCTCCGACCTTCTCCCCCAGAACTGTGCAGGGAAGGCCGTTTGGTGGAAGTTACAAAGACTGCTTAGAAGAGCATATTAAATCACTCACTGCCTCTGCAACAACCGACACAAACAGTTCTTAAAAATGGAGCAGACGAATGAGTGAGTGTTGCTCAGCCATGATGTGAGCCCCACACAGGCTGGCCTGCAGGATGGCGAGACTGCCGGCTGCAGAAGGACAGCGTGCTGCAGCCTCACCTGCAGGAAACAAGCTCGGGGAAGTGCAGGAGGGTGGGGTGGGGGTGGGGGTGGGGGTGGTACACGGGATGATGACACATGATGGCCCTTTGCATGAATGGTGGCGAAGCCCCTCAGACAAGGGTGGTGACCATTGGTGCCCAGCTTGGAGATGGCCATCCATGGCACTGCCCATTACGTGAAAATATGGTTGAATGGGCTGGTGTTTGGTGTGTATATTTTTACCACAACTTAAAATATTGGTGGTGGGAGGAGGGTTGATCAGCTGATACACCTGTGTGAGAGTGTCTTTCTAGAAAGGGTAAATACGTCACAGGTCTTCATCATACAACCAAAGAACGCCCAGTGCTGTCCAGACCATTCTGACTCATGGTCCCCATGCAAGGTTTCCCAGGCTGCCCCTCGGCTCACAGCGTGATCATGGGGGCTCTTCAGAGCCGCAGTGTGCCAGCTGCTTCCCAGCTGTGTCCGTCTCAGCCACTCACGTGGGCTTCTATGATCAACCGAGGACGTTCATTTGCCCAGATTGTCCTGCTGGCAGGTGGCAGGGCTGAGTCTGCTCCCAAGACTGGGGGAGATCTACCATGGTGCTCAGCAGCCTTAGGGCGGCCACCTCACACGCCGCCAGCCAGCCTCTGCCGTGTCCCTTTGTGTGAGGCCCTATAGATCAGAGTTTGTGACAGATATCACAAGCAAGGCACAGGGAGTTCCACCAGCCCAGCGACGCTCCCTGGATGCTTTCCATCAGTATCTGCCCTGCACCCTGCACCCTGCACCCTGCTCCTTGGGCCAGGGCAGCCTCTGACCTGTTTTTTGTGCCTGTGGCCTGCCCTCTTCCAGAGGTCATGTAAACAGTATCTCATCTTGTGTCTGCCCCGTAGCGACGACGTTCATCTGTGCTGTGTGCAGCCACAGTTTGTTTCTCTAGAATAGAAGCACTCCGGCCTTCGGTTGATGGGGATCACACCACACTAGAGAAGCCCCACATCTTCACCACCGGACCAGTGGAGGTCAACATGATAAACGAGGAAGGATGGAAGTTGTTGAAGGAGTCTGCTTGGCTTGGCTTCGCAGTTGATGTGCATGGCAGCTGCAGTCAGCAGACCCAGCAGTGGGTTGCACCCGGCAGATCTGCTGCACAAGATCTCTTGAAAGTGCTCAGAAGCAAAGGCAGCCCTCTGAGGACTAAGGTGCGCCTGCCCGGATGGGCCAGGCCTTCCATGTCTGCCTCTGCCAGTGGTGAGGTCGCCCACTCCTCCCCCCTCCTCCCTCCGTTGGGAAGCATGGAGGTGCTCATGCTTTCCTGCTCTGACAGGGTCACCCCACCCAATCGGCTTCCAAGGGTGAGCTGAGGAAGAGCTGGGGCTCTCGCCGACATCTGGGTGTGTGGTTATCCTAGCGCCACACGTTGGAAAGTGGGTGCCTTCTCCACGGAGTTACTCTGCTCTTCCGAAGGCTGGGCTGGTCTGTTAGGAGCATCCTTCCTGAGACCCGCTTCTTGTGGTCCCAGCCTCCACTCAAGAACAGTTACGACACTACTGCTTGTTCAGGCTTCCTTGCTAGGATTGGCAGCAACTTATTTGTTAATTCCTTTCCAGGCTTCTACATCCTA